CAGTTTACTGCCTCTCATTAAAACTGGGCATTTTAAATGACTATTAGAACAATAAACATTTTAGACTATCTACACCACAGTGTGACCCTTGTATTAGAAACAAACACCCTAAATCAGATCTCGCAAACCTGGCACCCTCCAAAGGTTTTGGACTACAACTCCCATCAGACCCAGACAGCTCAGCAGTTGACAAAGTCTAACTATTAATTGTGGCTTGCCGATCGGAAGGTCAGCGGTTCGAATCCCCGCGACGGGGTGAGCTCCCGTTGCTCTTTCCCAGCTCCTACCAACCTAGCAGTTCAAAAGCATGTCAAAGTGCAAGTAGATAAATAGGTACCACTCCGGCGGGAAGGTAAACGGCATTTCCGTGCGCTGCTCTGGTTTTGCCAGAAATGGCTTAGTCATGCTGGCCACATGACCTGTAAAAACTGTCTGCGTACAAACGTCGACTCCCTCGGCCAGTGAAGCAAGATGAGCGCCACAACCCCAGAGTTGTTTGCGACTGGACTTAACTGTCAGGGGTCCTTTACCTTTAAGGAAAAGTGGGACATTCCAGGGTCAAATCAGAAACCAGGACGGCTTCTGTAAATCCAGGACTGTCCTTGGAAAATAGGGACAACTGAAGGGTCTGACATCATTAAATAATATATCTTCATACGGCCAGATCATTATTTGCATTTGTTAGAGTTCATCCACACTTACCTTTTCCCCTGTGCTTTCTAGGCAAATGTCTGCAATTTCCCAGACTGTGTTTGAGCAATCTTCCCCACCCCCCGCTTTCCCCAGGAAAACCTGCTCTTTACCACCAAACTGGAACAAACAGCAATTCAGGTTTCCCATAGATTGTCAGTGGTATAGCACAGGTTTTCGTGGATAAAGTGCCAGGGCAAAGAAATAAACACTAGGACACCGACTTGGAAAGCTTGGAGCAAAATTAAGTGCGGATGAGCCCTTAGCTTTTATATAAAGGGACCCCTGACCATTAGGTCCAGTCGTGACCAACTCTGGGGTTGTGGCACTCATCTCGCTTTATTTACCGTAGGGAGCTGGTGTACAGCTTCCAGGTCACGTGCCCAGCATGACTAAGCCGCTTCTGGTGAATCAGAACAGCGCATGGAAACGCCGTTTATATAAATATATAAAAGTCTCGTATTGACGTAACAAACAGATAAAATCAATTAAAAGGCAAATAAAAAAGAAAGCACAGTGGAAAATTCCTAAAGAGTGCAACATGACCAAAATCAATGTTTCTAACACGCTAGTTCATCGGAGATCTTTCCCCCCCAAAAAACAGGGTGTGTTGTTTGGAAGAGAGGTGGGAGATGTGGGGGGAGGGGAGGGGAGCTCAGTTTAAAGTGCTGTCCTTAAAATGAGAAGTCCAAGACTTATGTGGAATAAGGGGAACGTCTGTTAATTGCATTTTCCATGGTTCTCTATGGTTGGCTTCATGCTTTGTAGTTGTGGGACATGTTGCTGCAGTCCTGTTTACAAAGCCATAACTTAAGCGACAGGCTTTTCGCATGCAAGACCCGTCATTCGTCAACTCTGCGGCAGGAATGAAGCAAACGGGGGTTTCTGTAGTCCTTTCGGATGTCTGCATTTGAAATATAATCTGAAGCCATGCATCAATCCCTTCACTCCCAGCATCTGAGCAAAGGCATGGCCATCTGAAAATAATACCCAAGCCGAAGCAGAATATACATCTGCCTGGAGACAGAGACGTGATTATTTTCACTGGCGTGTGAGTTTTAGCTTTTACCTGAGGCAACAAGTGCTGCTTATCAGTCCACCATGAAAATCGATCACACATGTTTTCTGAACTCTTCTGTAGTTGGGATTTGACAAGGTCTCTCCCCGCAACCCGCAACCCCCTCTCTCTCACACACAACACTTTCTGCAAGGGGGGGAGAGACTTGCAGATATATAATTTCTATTAAATTTTCTGTTTTACAATTTAAAATACTCATGTTTACATCCTTAAGATATCAATGACTTCCCTTCTTCTCTTTCCATGGTTCATTTTCCATATCATAAATCCCTGCATATTTTACAAAAACTATACCATTCAGTATTCCATTATTGCATCCATCAAAACTTATCTACACTGTTGAATTTGTGTTAATGCTGCCAGTGTTTTCAGCTGCACACAATTATTTCCGATATATTCAATAAACGTTTTCCAATCTTCTCTAAACATATGTTCTTCTTGTTCGCTTATTCTATATGTTAAGTCTGCAAGTTGTGCATATTCTGTCAGCTTAAGTTGCCACTTTTCTTTGGTTGGGACCTCGCTCGTTTTCCATTTGGGGGCTAGCTAAACATGGGCCGCGGTAGTAGCGTACATAAATAACCTTTCTGCAAGTCTTTTCCAGATTACATTTTTAAAATTGAGCTTCTTTAAAAAGATTTCTCATTCCATTAGAGTAACAGCACACTAGGAAGGATAAAACAACTAGTAGGTCTTCAGGGACTCTGAAACATACGGTTTGCCAATACTGCAAGGCAAAACATGCCTTCTTATGCTCAGCTGACCTGAGACAAAGGACAGAACCAAATGGGCAAAGAAGATATGAACGTATCCTTACTTCTGTTGATTGTCTAACCCTGTCGTTTTTAACCTTGGAGTAACTTAGAATGGGTATGATTGCCCCAGTGCCAACATTTCCAGGCAATTCCTAGAACAAGGATGGCCAACGTGGTGCCCTCCACATGTCTTTGGACTCCAGCTCCCATCAGGTTTAGGTCTCCTGAAATGCTTGAATAGCAAGCTGACCAGGCCCACAGATTGCCTGGTCACAGTCTTCTCCGCTATGCTGAGATGCATATGCTGAAGTTCTAATACTACTTGCATTTAATAGCAATTTAAGTTATCGTAAATATTTTAATTTATGCATCTTTCACTAGCTTAAGGTATGGATCTATACATACAAATGCTGCATGTTGTATGCAAACCTTGTGGTCTCTTTTGTCATCTTTTTATTGGCAGCACATAAGCACTGCAGCATCATCGGTCCCCACAGAGCTGTTTTGAAGAGTTCTCTCATTTGGAGTTTTGGTTTTTTTAGGGGTAGGGGATACTTCTGCCAAGCTTGGGGTTCCTCTAAGCCTGCTGTTAGCTCCCTCTTGTGCATGCATCTTGGTTACATAAGGCTCAGCAATCAGAGAACTATTAGAGGACAGGATTGTTTACAAAGAATCCAACCCGTATTAAAAGTAAAAAAAAAACACCGTTTTTTTACAAGTTGCATAAAAAGGACTCGCTTCCTCCCACCGCCCCCTCTGCAACTCCAAAATATAAATTGCCTTCCTTCAGAACTGCTGTGTTTCCTCAGACCCAGCTTTTCCTCCACTTTATTCTAAAAACCATACACATAAGAGCGAACATATGAGTTCACTAAATATTTATGGATGTAATTTACGAGCTTGGTTGAGTGCCTCTTGCCAGAATTGAAAAGGATGCCTGTGTGTGGCCTTTAAATAAAAATACAAAAAAACAACCCACCATCTAGGACTGGCCTAAAAGCACAGAGGTGAACAGCAACTTCACATCAATACTGAAACTGTCAGACTTCACTGGGGCGGAGAATGAACAGCGACTTACTGCCCACTCCAAAGTCTCACCTAACCATCAAATAAATGCCTCCCTAGTAAAGGGCACTCTTGCCCGGGCCACACAACTCACAGCAATGTTGCAACTGGGATGCAGGATCTGAGCACCAGGAGAATTCCATACAGCATCGAACAATATATATGCATTCTCTTCAGACCTGCACCTACTGCTTCACATAATGAGCATTACCATCAACATTATGCAGAACTGAAAGGTTGAGTCTGAAAGATTGAGTCAGCAGTCCTAGCCATGCATGTCCTCCAACAGTCCCGGTTTTCCAGGGGCAGTCCCAGAATCACAAAAGCCATCCCGGCTTCCGATTTGATCCCGAAATGTCTATTTCCCCCACCAGTGCTGCCGCCACCGAGCTCTGGGAAGAGGAGAGGTCACCGCTGCCAAGGGCCAACCCCACGTGACTCACAGGCTCTGACGGGCAGGCAGAGGGCAGGGCCAGCCTGGGAGGGAAGAAAGGGGGAGTGGAGCAGAGCACAAGGAGTCTTGATTTTTTTTTATTTTAAAATGCTTTGTGCGTCCATGTCTAATCTTTTTTTTTTTTTTTTAGTTTTATTTATTTATTAACGTTCTTATGTTACATCAGTAAACATCATATTACATCACAAGGCTTATTATAATATAATTTTCAGCGTGTATACAAAGTTTATATACAAAGTTTATATACCTAAAGAAAAGAAACAAGGACAAAAAACTATTCCAAAATCATATATGTACCAACACTTCCTGTCTATCCCGTTGTATATTCCTTTTTTACAAATGAATGTACTCTTATTATTGTATATTTCTTTACATTTTATCTAATACATTCCTATATAAATATGTACCCTTGGTCTTATTTCTCAACTCAGTCTCTCTCCAACGTCAATCGAATGCTAGCATAGATAGCGAACCTTTACTGTAGAACAATACAATAAAGCATCCACATCTAACCTTGCCCCTTTCTAAAAAATTATTTATTGGTGTGTGCTTTTCTTCCAAAGAATGAAATGAAATGAAATTGGGATTCAGGGGTTTTCTCAGTACAGTGGAGGGTGTGTGTTCCTGTGTCCCATTGTTGAAGTGGTGGCGAAACATTATTATTCTGTTAGGAAATGTTCTTCAGTGGTGGGGTGAGAAAAAATGGGGGGGGTCAAGGAGGGTCAGTTGAGGGGGAGTGAGAAATGTCCCTATTTTCATCTGAGGAATGTTGCAGGGTATGCTTACCTGGAAGTAGGCACCATGGAAAGCAATGAAACTTACTTCTGAATATATACATATATATATATATATATATATATATATATATATATATTACTCGACAGGATCATAGAGCAAAGCTGCAGTCCTTAACTGGGAGTGAGTCCCAGTGAATGCAATGAGCTTTTTCTTGGATCGCAGTGTGTAATAATTTTATATATGTGTGTGTGTGTGTGTGTATATATACACACACACACACACACACACATATATATATATAATAATATAATTATTACACACTGTGATCCAAGAAAAAGCTCATTGCATTCACTGGGACTCACTCCCAGTTAAGGATTGCAGCTTTGCTCTATGATCCTGTCGAGTAATTTATTTCTTATCCACACCACATATTCAAGGCACTCTTATGCCACTTCACAGTTTCTAAAAATGTGTGTTTAAAATGACTAGGAAGTAATAGAATGTTTTTAGAGTGCAATCCTATACTTGGGAGTCAACCCACTCAAATCCATGCCTCTTACTTTTCTGAGCAGACAGGTATAGGATTGCACTGTAAATACATTCTATTACTTCCTAGTCATTTTAAACACCATTTTCAGAAAGGTTGGCCAAGTCGGACAATGGCCTTTTGCAGACCTTTGCACTCAGTTCACATCTTATTCAGCTGGAAATGGTTGCCGCACAGCGTGATTTCCTCCGTGGTTATAAACATTTGCATATTTTAGCCTTCCTTGTCTTTCAAATCAAGAGTGTCCAGATTTTTCCTCTCCGGTCAATAGTGGATTGTTGTTGGGCTTAAAAGAAAGAAAGAAAGGAAAAGCTTAAATATTTATAAAGGGCCTGCTTCCCAGCTCCTTTAAATGTCCCTGTTTTCGACTCAGTTTTGTGGGAGTCTGTTTATACTAATAATGCCAAAAGTCCGTAATCCATAGGGATTCAAACCTGTCATCTCGTCCCCCGGATGAGGATTTGGGAAGCCTGTTCAACAGCTAAATCCCCTATATTACATGTCCATGCGACCGAGAATTAAGGGACCTTTCCTGTTTTCCTCCTGGTAAGCAAATTGCTTATCATAAATGTACAAGTAACACCTTGTTCTGCTGAAATGCAAATCGCTCTCTGAATGGAGCATGTGTTTGAGGGCCTCAGAAGCAACTGCCTTCTCCTTTGGAAAAGGGGGGGGGAAAGCCTTCCAGGTCCCTTAGAGACTCAGCATACCAAGACAAGGAACGGCTTCCCGTTTTCCTGCCACTCAGTGCTGTGCTTGTCTGGAGGACCAGTGAATGGGTCACTTTCCCAAAGAACAAGCGTTCTTATTTTATGCTTTGTGTTATTATTTTGTCGGCGATCGGAATAAGTGTCCTGGAAACATCTCAGCATTTATTTTCCACATCCTTCAGCAGTAGTACAGGGGTCAATCAGACCCTCCAAGTGCCCCTATTTCCCAGGGACAGTCCCAGATTTACAGAAGCCATCCTGGTTTCTGATTTGATCCCAGAATGTCCCGCTTTTCTTTAGGACGTCCCTGTTTTCCTTGGAGAAATGTTGGAGGGTGTGGTGGGTCGTCCCTATTTCATACCCTCCAATGTTGTGTGAGAAAAATTTGGGGCATCCCCCCCATACCCATTTCTGTCACTCACCCCCTCCCTGTCACTGACCGCTTCCTTGCCCACCTGCTTGCCCCCTCCTTCTCTCCTCTCTCTTACCTGTGCTGTCTTTGGCTTCCTGCTGAGAGCCAGTGTGGTGTAGTGGTTAAGAACGCTAGTCTCGTAATCTGGGGAACCGGGATCGCTTCTCCGCTCCTCCACATGCAGCTGCTGGGTGACCTTGGGCCAGTCACACTTCTCTGAAGTCTCTCAGCCTCACTCACCTCACAGAGTGTTTGTTGTGGGGGAGGAAGGGAAAGGAGAACATTAGCCGCTTTGAGACTCCTTCAGGTAGTGATAAAGCGGGATATCTTCTTCTTCTTCTTCTTCTTCTTCTTCTTCTTCTTTCTTCTTCTTCTTCTTTCCTTATGAGATGCTGCGGCTCCAGACAATGCGAGTCCTAGAGCAGCCCCAGGATGGTCGCCCCAGCCTGCACCGTGTCAGCAGACCAGAGCTTTCCAAACTGTGTGTCGCAACACGTTAGTGTGTCGGCTGCAGTCTCTAGGTGTGTTGCGCGAATGCTAGAAAGGGGTTAGTTCAACCTCCGGATTGCTTGTAAAACTGAATTACCATGTTACGAAATGATGTACGTCTAAAGCGTGTGCCACCAACATGAAAAGTTTGGAAAGCTCTGCAGTAAACACCACAAGGCCTGGAGTGGCTTCTAGGAAAATCAGGGCATCCTGCATTGTGTTCAGAAGTCGGGGCAGCTTCTATAAATTTGGGGTGTCCCAATTAAATCAGGACCCTTGAGGGGTCTGCTGTTCCATCAGAGAAATGTTGGAAGGTATTGAGTTATGCAACTCCTGAGCTAAGGAAATAAGAAAGCTACAATCTTTAGAAGACATCTGAAGGCAGTCCTGTATGGGGATGGTTTTTTTTAATGTTTAACGTTTTCTTATGTTTTTATATATGTTGGAAGTCTCCCAGAGTGGCTGGGGCAACCCAGCCAGATGGGTGGGGTGTTAAATAGGATGATTATGATGACGATGATTGAATAGGACGTCCCTATTTTCATCGGAGAAATGTTGGTGTGTTAGAGTGTCAGGCTAGGACCTGGGAGGGCAGCATTCAAATCCCTGGGTGACCTTGGCTGGATCCAGAAACATCAAAGAAGCGTTTCAGTTTAAAGCATTGTAAATTTAAACAGGGAAAACAGGTGGAGAAAACCGGGACTCCACGTCGCCATCTGGTGGCACAACGTTATATCGCACATACAACACATACAGATCGCTTTTCCTTTACCAGTCCAGCGGAGTCCCCAGTGCCCATCACTGCCTCTCAGCCTAACCTACCTCACAGGGTTGTTGTGGGGATTAAATGAGAAGGGGAAGAGCTCCTTGGAGGAAAAGGTGAGATATAAATGCAACAAATAAATAAATTGTGTAGTGCAGGCTCTCTTCGTGATAGCCCACATAGCAATACATGCCCCCATAGCTATGTCCCTACTAAGGCTAGACAACAAAAATCATTATTTCTTAAGCAGTATGAACATGATGACTTCCAAGACAGCTTTTTGCTTACTCCCCACTCTTGCTTTGCTTGATGCAGCACTCTGGCGATCTCAAGAGCCTGTTCACTATGCCGTGACATTTTGCTGGGTCATAATAAAGGGGTTGGGGTGGCACTGTGGGTTAAACCACTGAGCCTAGGACTTGCTGATCAGAAGCTTGGTGGTTCAAATCCCCATGACGGGGTGAGCTCCTGTTGCTCGGTCCCTGCTCCTGCCAACCTAGCAGTTCGAAAGCATGTCGAAAGTGCAAGTAGATAAATAGGTACCACTCCGACGGGAAGGTAAACACCATTTCCGTGCACTGCTCTGGTTCGCCAGAAGCGGCTTAGTCATGCTGGCCACATGACCCGGAAGCTGTATGCCGGCTCCCTTGGCCAGTAAAGCGAGATGAGCGATGCAACCCTAGAGTCAGCCACGACTGGACCTAATGGTCAGGGGTCCCTTTACCTTTAATAAAGGGGTTGGGATTTTTCAAAAGTAAAGTGGCAGTTTAACCCTTAGCCATGCATGCTAATGTAGCTTATCTCTTTGTCTCCTTAGCTTGTTTGGTGTGTTTCTCTCTGAGGAAAAGCTTATTCGCTCAACAATGCCGGGGACTACCAAGCAATGCAGGAGCTGACAACATTGTCACTCCTGCAAAATAAGTAACAGCACTTCCCTGTTCTGTTGCACCACTGACCTGAAAAGTGTGGCACAGAAGTTATTGCTGGTCAATGGTTAGTTTATTTTTATGTGAAATTCATAAAGGTTTTCTGGCCTTGATGGAGCCGGGACTTTTGGCACACAATCCTGGGAGGCAAAAAATCTTTAATTAACCTGCTTTAACATATGTGGTGAGCGGGAAAAGGTTCCTTAATTAGCTGGCTGATAACTACACTATCCCTGTGCCACCTGGACACATATTATAAAAGGTTGAGCTGAGAGCAGCATTTCTGTTCTGCCTATCAGCTAAGCAGGCTTGGGTCCGGTTAGTACTTAGATGAGAGCGTGCAAAGAAGTCGTGGAACGTTTCCCTCTCTCTTTTTGTGGTAGGTGTAAATACAAATGAAATAGCTAGCCACCTGCCATCATGGTGCCATGGAAAGAGTGAAACAGCTGTGGAAGAGGACGAGGAAGCTGAAGAAGTCTGAGGTCATAAACTTCAGTGGTGAGCCAGGGAAAACAGAAAGGGCCACGTATAACAGAAGAGACCCCGTGAGGAGAACCTCTCATGTGGAATCACAGTGTTTTGAACAAGGGTGCGATTCATTTTTCTGAAACAAAGGATCTTGTTGATACTGAGGATGAACTGGCCTTATCTTCACACGCCTAAATAAATGTGGAATCCAGAAGGAAGAACTGTTCTTGGTCTCCAAGACCTCCCCGAGGGGTGTTAGAAGGAATGGGAATCCCGATCATTATTTATGAATGCTTCAAACTGTCAAGGCGCTAAGTGTGGCAATTTATTTTTATGCCACTTCATTCCAAAGTAGGCTTCTAAGTGGTTTACCAAGTAAGACACTGAAATAGAAGCATCGATAACTGAAATACACAACACATTCGAACAACACAGCAGTTAAAATAGGAGACCCGGGTTTGAGCGATCAAGCTATTAATTTATATAACTGATTAATATTATAATATAATATAATATAATATAATATAATATAATATAATATAATAATAAAATGAAGGACCCTGAGGGAAGCTAGTACTTGTCTTCTGCTTAAATTCCTCAAAACCAGTTTTCTCCCTGGCTAGGTTCATACGAATCTGGCTCGCTGGCTGGTTCATGGTAATCTGTCAATCCAGACTTCCTTTCATGGGATGAGCTCCCTGATCTAGGTCTCTGATCCAGACCATGCATTGCGTTCTCATGAAAACAGGGTTCATTAGTTCCACTAGTGGAGGGTGAAACACTTTTAGGACAAGGATATATGTGAATTGAGCTCACATACACAGAGAGATGACTTTCTGCGTGTGCATCAGAACACCTGTGTCTAAGGACCTGCACGCACCATGCGTTTTAAGTACATTATTATCAGCACCACAAAAGAATCTGGGAACTGTAGTTTACCCCCTCACACAGCTACAGTTCCCAGCACCCTTAACAAACTAGAATTCCCAGGATTCCT